AGTAGAATCGGAACCTTTAAAATAAAGATCCCGTAAACAAAAGTGTCAATGTAAAACAACCTTTAAAAGATTCATTTGTAGCAATTATGAAATAGATCTCAGTGGATTTCTCTAGTAGGACTGTAGAATGTTTACCAGCAGTGCAGACACAGCTTGTCCTTCTAGAACATGTACCCTCAAGCACAGTACAGAGGGGTGACACGATCAGTGAGAGCTGATTTAGGAAGATGGCAGAGGAGTGTGTAGTGAGTGCCGTGTAGCCTTACCTGGCTGTTTAACCCACTGTCCCGGAGCGCACACAGTGTGTGGGCGAGCTGCCCTACACCCTCCATCTGCTTGGTCTATGCAATAATATCCACTTAAAACCCAACAGACTGTGTCCTTCTGGTTAGTACAGCCATGAAGAGTTCGTAGTCCTAGACCCGAGCACAAAAGTGACATTTGTTTAATACAATTTGTACCTTGTAACCCAGTTACCACCCACAGCAATGATATACTCTACTTTTCCCTATAGCGACCTTTATATTTCCTTATCTCTCTTTTCACCTCTTTCTGCACTGCCCTCCCGATCTCTGCTTCCCCTTGAGAGAAAACAAACTTCTTTATAGAAGACGTACCCTTTAAGATTCTTGGTTACTCATGGCTTCTACGGAAAAACCTTAAAACATTTGGTAGGAATACAAGAGGCCATATACAAAATAAAATAATCAGACACTACGATCAACAGATTCATGAATGTCCTCTGATGTGTCTTTAAAACACACCCCATCGCCAGCAGTCAAAACAACCCAATAGCTGTGTAGTACTTTCTTTGTCCCATTCTCTTACAGATCTCATCACTGGTTTGCTACTCTTAAAGAGCTGCTCATATATGGTCCTGCGAAGCACTGGAATATGATCAGACATGCCCAACAAAGATCTTACAAGGCATGGATAGGCATTTTGAATTGTCCCTTAGCATTGATAAATAATTCTGTTCATCCGCGTGGGACATTAACAATATTTCCACATTTAGGTTAAAGTGAATGTAAACATTTGTTATAAAAAGCTGGAGAAACATACAAGAAGGCTAAAGGGATGAAGTGACACAAAGCATTTGAATGTCAGGCGTACTGCACTATTAGAAAACAACTGACAGAGTGAGCCTCCAGTTACCAGAAGTTACAATTTTCTTCACACGGTAGAAGAGATCCATTCTCACCTGGATCACAGACTTTACACGGGAAACACGACAATAGTCCATTGGGCTGATCTGTGTAAGTTGGTCCTACACAAGGTATGCAGGAAGTGTTTGAAAACTCTGTACAATGGCGTAGAACCCGAGATCCTGGTGGAGAAGATTAAGGGATAAATATATTGCATACTCACATACATTTCAAGGTAGTAAATGCCTGCAATAAGCCTGATCTGTGAGAATTTCATCTTTCTACAGAAAAAAAAAACGTTTTCCCAAGGCACAAAGGAAATCATGTAAGGGCAAGTGGATTATAAATCTGGATAGAAAATGCACTTTAAATTCAACCACATTAGATCTTTACAGAAAAGCGAAAGATTATACTGGAGAACCAAATTACTACATTTAGAAATAACTCATATTTGACAATATATGGAATAAATCTGTCAGTAACTAAAACAAATCTGTTGCATTCAGGTATTCACTATAAGCTATTATTAAGATATGTAATAATAAAACATTGCCTTTGTTACCATACCATCAAATATCTATCTTATTATAGAATATACAACTTAAACCAAATGCTAGGTGAGTCTGCACCCTAAAGACTATGTCATTCCAAAACAGTGCAATAAATACAGATCAATGAAATTCAATGATATCTGACCAGACACCATCATCCATTCAAAACTTTGTATAACAACCTACCAATAGGGCACATGGGACAGCATTCACCATTAACAAGATATTCTGCAGGGCCACACTGCATTGCATCAGACAGCTTACACACTAACAACAGGAAAACTATAGGCTTGGTCTGAAAATAAAGAAAACAAGCCACATTACATTGTGTAATATGAGCTATAAGGGAATTTTTGCACAAACCTGCATTTTCATGGGACAAAATTAAATGGTCTTTTATAACTGACAGTCTGTGACGCTATAAAACACAGCTCATCAGTTTATACAACAGCTCACGTTAGGGAGCTCTTGAGATAACAACATTCTGGGACCCTGGATATGCACATAGACAAAGTAGGAACTGTCATGATATCATTTGGTGATGCAGTTATTGTTGTGTTACTGCTCAGGACTGGTCTGTGTGTATTAGTATTGTTAAATTTGTGGATTCTATCTTTTGGAGATTTGTTCATAGTCTGTCAAGGCCAGGTGGTGTGTGGGAGTCCACAGACTCTAGTAGAAAGTGGGGAAAGATGACTTTGTCACTATGTGACAAGCACTATGTGACATGAATATGTGTGGTCTACTATTTTGTTTAACTGCTGCAAAGCTGTTGGAGTACTTCTAAAAATTAAGCACTAAGAATTCTGTTATGTTTGTTTCTGTGAACCTTTCGAGAACTTATTTCTCCATTAAAATTCACTCAAATAAATGCCAATGAAAACAGTTAAAATCCATATAAACCAGATAAAACTGTTAAACCATATAAAATGTAAAACAAAATCCATACTGCTTGTATTGTGCCTTTAATGTCCAGT